GAAGGAATAACTCTTCCCCTCTACGAAGTATGAAGTGCAATTAGGTGTAAAAATTACACAAGGGCAGCTTCTATATCTAACAGATTTTCTATCCTAAGTATCTATATGGCTAAAATAGACATTGGTCGCCTTTATATACAAGCTAGATAATCATACACCTCCTTGATAGTCATCGTAAAGACGGCGTGATAGCAAGACCACTACTCCAAGACATCTCGCTCCGGAAACTAAATGCTCCAAAACCCGAGGGATCTGCTCCCAGACAGGGACCTCTCGTAGATCACCACCCTTAGACGACCTCATCGCCATCACAATCATAACTTGGCCACTCTCCCCGCCGCAAAATTACCACCCCCCAAGACATCCACGATCCGATCAACGCTCCTCAAAATCCACTCGCTCCCCTTGTCCCCCGCCAACCACTCCGCCGCCTCGTCCCCCTCCGCCGGCACGTCGTCCCTGAACGAGCCGTCCTCGACCGCCTTGCGCAGCCCGTACACGTGCGACAGGACCTGCGGTCCCACCCCCGTCTGCGCCCTCAGGCTCGCAACGGCAACGACAGACGTAAGGAGCCGCCCCACGCTCGCCAGTCCGCCTTTCTTCTCCGAGGTCGCCGCCCTGGGCGGATCCGCCAGCAGAGGGCCGTAGTTGGCGTCGAGGATGTGCACCGGCAGGTCGGGGTGCGACCGCGCCAGCTTCCGGTACAGCTTCTCGTCCAGCGGGCGGTAGATGGACTTCCAGAGGCGGGCGCCGCGCTCCCGGACCTGCGCGAGAGACTGGGGGGAGGAGAGGGCCCGGGAGGGGGCCGTGGCGAGGCGGGCGGTGAGGGCGGGGGGCAAGGAGGCGTGGAAGGCGTTGAGGCAGTTGATGGAGCGGGGGATGCCGTTGAAGCTGATGCACTTGAGGCCGACCTCGCGGATGAGCTCCGCGGTTTGGACGGGGTCGCTAGGATGGGGGATGTGGCGGTCGGGGGAGGATGCGACGTCGTGGAGGATGGTGAGGGAGTCGGGGGAGTTGAGGGTGAATGTGGCGGCGGCCTATTTCCCTGTTAGTTTTCTCTCTTGTGCTTCAATTGGAGTGGTTATTCGGGATGGGGGCGTACGGAGAGGACTATCCACGACCGCGGGCCGAGCTGCCGCCTCGAAGCATCACGAGCGATGTCGACGAAGGCCTCGCGGATCTGGGCGGCGGGCGCAGCGGTTGGGCCTGGGTGCGCAAAGGACGCATTGATGAGCGCCTTGAGCGACGGCGAGATCTTGGACATTGCGCCCGCGCGATGTCGCATTCAGGTAGGTCTCGTGGCGTGTCAATGTTGAAGATGTCGCAGTGGTGGTTTGGAGTTGTCTCGGCTTTTCTGGTGCGGCGTTGTCGCGAACCTCGGCAATTCTTAGAGCCGATGATAACCTTGGGCCTCACCAACGCTTCCTCTAGCGGCTTCTTCCAATCACCAGCTTGGGGTTAAATTCTCTGAATTGTAGTTGCAGCAGAAAATTCAAGTGTATAATCTTTCAAAGTGGGAACTTCCCATGGTCAAGTAAATTCTTTTTCTTGTTCTTGCATATGGCATTACAGGTAATGAATCCAACAATAGCAGATCCTATTGCACGGAATTTTTCACAATATTGCACTCAATGGGCTATGTCATGAGTGCATTCTTGATTCCAATTCACACTCTTATGTTTATAAGTAGAGTAAAGGTGGTTGTATGCCAGAAGGAACTAATATTTATTGAGTGCCCATCGGCTACCCCAGTACCGACCTTTGAAGAAATTCAACCTTGCTTTGACAGCTTTTCTTCTTGTTATTTACTTCGCTCAGTTTAAGTAGTACGCTTTGTCGAATTTTCCAGTGACATAAGTGCTGCATTCGTTAAAAAACTGCCTTTTCGTGCAACCAGAGTCCATAAGGTCGAGGAGCATCAAGCTTACGGTAGATGATATGGAGAACTTTCTAACCCTGAACTCGAACAATTCGCGTTGATATATTATAACTAGCCAAATTACACATACACCTTTGTCCCTCTCTAATTGTTCCAAAATCAATGAAAGAAGGCTGGACTTGAAAGAACATTGGCAACCAACGGAATTCTCAACGGGTTCGTCAACGCATATAGGGTAGCAAGCATAGCAGCATCTACACCACACTGCTATTGAATTCTTGGGATTGGATAAATATGGAAAGGATTAGAAAGAGGATAGGAAAATAAAATAGGGCTATTTTCTCAATCTGTATATATATCTCTTATAAAATTTGCTTCTTCATAACTGGCAACTCTTCCATCTATTGCTTCATTGACATGACAACCTTAACTGTCTCGATTAACCGATCCTGTTCGCACATGTCCATCTCTCGGAAGGATCCCTCAAGTAAGGAGCAATCTCCACCACCGGAATGTCCGCCACGCTCGAACGGCGGGGGGCTGATTCCATGGACGTGCGCCTCTCATTCCGCTGCTCCATTACTCTCTTGGTTGCTCGCGAGGCGGGCGAGAGGGTGAAGGAGAGTCTGCGATGACTAGATTCGGGTGAGAACGAGTGAACCAACACTTTTTGGTCTATCAGTTGGGCTTACCCTGCTGCCATGTTGATGTTATGTTGTAGATTTTTGATTTTGTAAAGTTCTAGAAAAGCTGTGTGTTGCGAAAAGTGTAGATTGATATCTATCGTCTGGTCTGAAGAGGGAGAAAGTGCTCTCAATATATAGCCGGAAACCTTGAACCCTGTCTTAACTGATCATGACCATTTTGTCTACATCATGTACCGGATGGCATCCTTGGCACATCGGTGACGACACTCGAGTGCTGAAAACTGTAAATATGAGTAGGCTCGCAGCAACGTTTGTAGTTGATCGCTGCCTCTGTCTGATTCCCATGTCAGACACAGCTGGAAGCGAGGTTGGTAGATGTGAGCAGTTCGCTTCCATCCTGGAGGTTTCGCCACCACGATGACGTTGGAAGGCCACGCAAAGGGGGAAGGGATAGCCATCCCCAAATACAACCTTATCCAACACAACCAATTGCAGCTTCAGAAACTACACCTTCCAGCATCGTCCCGTGATCCATCCATTTAATGCCCAGAAATCTATTTGATTAGGGCGCGCCAGGGAACCGGTCGCTGTGTTTGGACGAGGCTTCGCGCAACCATTGCTGCCATGCGTTGCCACCTCGCTTGAGCCTTCGACTCATTGCGGTAACCCCACAACTTAGACGAATGTAAGTAATGACCATATCCTCAAGGCTGTTTTTGGGTCCAGGATGAGAATGGAGAGGATGGTGGCATGAGAGAACGAGAGCGAGCAGCGAGCACACCAAGAGACAGGCACAATAAACGTCATTCAAGCCCGGGGCATATTATTTCATTTGGAAATGCCAAGCAGCATCTTCTTGGCTACCTCTATCTCCTCAAGATTCCCGCACGCCAGCCCCCCCCTCTCGTCCGCGTTTTCCAGCGGCCGTTGCAGAATGTCCACCCCGTCCGCGGTGTCGATCGCAGCGCCCCCGCGCACTCCATGACCAGGGCGACCGGGCACAGCTCGAACAGGCGCCTCAGCTTGGCCTTGCTCGCCGGCGTGGTGGGCGACACGTAGATGCCGTGGCCCTTGACGAGGATGTGGCCCAGGTCGGGGACCAGGCCGCCGCTGTACCGCAGGGTGTACTTGCTCTGGATGTAATGCGACACGAGGGCCATGTACTGGGGGCTCTCGGCGGCGGCGCGCAGGTTGGCCGGGGCGAAGTACCGGACGTCGACGGAGTTGGTGAGGCGGACCTGGGAGCGCACGACCTGGCACGTGCGCACGCCGTCGTCGGTGAGGCCTACCTCGAAGCACGAGGGCTCGCCGCCGGGGACTCGCACGGCGACGACGGCGGTTGTGCGGGGGCCGAAGAAGCCCAGGATGGAGGCCACCTGCTTCTCGCGCGGCGACTGGTTGAGGGACGAGCGGCCGTCCCAGATGCCCACGATGGACCCGACGGTCCAGTTGGGGGCGATGATGGAGCTGCCGTCGAGGGGATCGAAGGCGACGGTGTACGTCTCGGCGGTGGGTGATGGTGATTGTGATTGTGATTGTGATTGTGATTGTGATTCTGGTTCATGGGAGGCGGGATCGTGCGAGGCGCCGTTGAGGTGTTGGACCGGCTTCTCGACCGGGTCCTCCTCGCTGGTGGCGGTGACGACGGACGGGCACCGGGCCAGGGCGTCGCGGATGAGGTTCTCGGCTGCAACATCTACGTTGAGCTGGTCGTCGCCAAAGGGATTGGTGTTGCCGGCGGCGGTCACGTTGTGGTAGCCTCGCAGCATCTGGGCGATGGCGGCGACGGCGTCCAGCAGCGCCGGCAGGACCGATGAGCGGAGCGCCTGGCGACTGTCCTGGGGGAGCGCGGCCTCGAGCAGGCTCAGCAGGTCTGCGCTGGCGGCTGCGGGCGGTGCCATTCTTCCAATGCCTGCTCTGCTCGCTCGTCGTCTCTGCGTTGCTGACAATGCCCCCAGGCTGCGCGCGACGGTGAGCAATGTGGTGGAATTGCCGCGTGGGTTGAGGATTGAGTCGAGTCGGGACTCAAGACAATCCAATCCCCAAAGTTGCCGGTGGTGGGCCCTTTTGAGCGAAGCTTATCACTATTTAGCGCGGGGCCCGTCCTGCCTCCGGGCCTCACTCACCCTCGCTAGTGCTATCGACTGCCGTGACGCTGCACTGGACTGATGCGATCTCGCGGGTGACGTTGGGCCGCACTCTCCTTTGCTCCGTAGCACTCGTGAAGCTGCCGTTGAGTCAATCATACGTGCTCCTGGCCCTGATTGGCTTGCACTGATGTCTCATGCAGACCGTCTGAACTCAGACATGGAGCCTCGGCCGTGCAACATGACGTCCAGAAACGCCGTACAGGTGTGACCATTGAGTAATTCCACGTAACAGATACTGCGAGCTTGAATCTTGAATTGTGTCACAGCTGCAGCTGACCGCAAAGCTGATGTACATGCATTGGCATCACATCTGTCACGTTAATTGGCCGCGTGGCCTAATGGCTAAGGCGCTAGATTTCGGTTCTTTCCATCCTCTAGAGATTCCAGGTTCGACTCCTGGCGTGGTCGGGTCAATTAGCATTTCTTTTTGCCTTTTGATTACACTAACATATACTACAGTATCTCCATTTTTGCTCTCAACGACTCTCTCATAGTTGCTGCTATTGCGATGGATACCGGAAGAGGGCTGAATTCGTTGTTGGTGGCTAATTACAGACATTCCTTACAATCTTACCCGACTTAGACGACAACCCATGTCATATATGCCAGTGAACGCACTTCTCAACAACTCGATAAGTATATACCTCGAACTTGGGTATCAGCCCAAACACTAGGAACATCATCCAATTATTTATGCACAATGGCTAGCTTGCCCCTGACCGGCACATTCTCCTCCCTCCCGACCTTGGGGAACCCGTCCACCTTGACCCCCTTCCTGAACACCAGGCAGTGGCTCGAGCCTCCAAAGTGGAACATGCCCAGCTCCTCGCCCTTCTTGACGTGCTGGCCCTCCTTGACCGTGATGTCGCACGTGCTCACCTCGTCCATGCCGATGCCCACAAACGCCATCAGCCCGATGGCCGGGTTGTCCGCCTCGATGAAGATGACGGCCCGCGCGGCCAGCGAGGACAGGTACCCCTGGACGAGGGAGATGCCCCGCGAGTCGATCTCCGCCGTGTTCGGGTCGCCGATCCCCTCGAAGAGGGGCTCGCTGAAGTAGGTCCCGTCGACGAGGAACGCGCGCCGGATCCGGCCCGACACGGGGGTGTGCCAGCGGTGGTAGGACAGCGCCGAGAGGAAGGCCTGGTAGACGGTGCCGTGGGCGAACTCGTGCGTCAGGTCGTCGTGGCCGAGCATGTCGAGGAGGGAGTACGGCTGGCCCTTGGCGAAGAACTTGTCGCGGAGCTTGACGTGGTGCGAGATGTTGTAGACCTTGGACTCGCAGGCGTTGGCGAGGACCGAGTCGTCGTCTGGTGAGGCGACGGGTCTGGCGCTGTCGTGGAGCTTGCGGGTGAAGAAGTCTGGACAAAAGGTGAGTATATAAGTCGAGTGTATATGGCTTGGAGAACCCAGTTTTGTATGTGTGGGTTTTCATCGGAGCAAAGTCGACTTACCATCCCAGGATTTGTAGCCATAGTGCTTCGCTGAGGGATCACAGATATACATGTCCTCGAACTTGTGGTTGGTCGAGTAAGGCAGGTTGGCCACCTCCATCAGGTCCTTGACTCCAACCTCCCCAAACCAACCTGTCTTGTGGTTTTCAAGAACACTTGCAGATGCGGGTGTCTGTACTTCATGGTTAGTTTCTCGCCCCCGGAAGTAGACACCGAGACAGAGGTAGGATAGACGAACTTGTAGAAACTTGCCCCATTCGTTCAACACCTTTTTCAACATCCTGTTCACGTCGGGATCCAAGAAAGCTGCGTGTCCGCTGAATTCCCCCAGTATCAGCCTCCAACTCACAAAAAACGATACCAATTGTTCCCTGGAATAACGTACCTCGGAGTCCCCATCGGATAATCAAGAATGGCACACATCGGCACACCAACCACACCCACCGCCTCCGCCGCATCAGTCCACTCCGGCGCCCGCGTAACAATATGATTCAGCACGGCCAGCATGTGGCGATAGTCACGGATCTGGGGGGTCCCTGTGGGATCATGCCAGTACGGAGGCTTGTTCGGGATCTCCTCGAACATCTGGACAAAGTACATGTAGACGCGCGGAGTCGTCTCGATGAACTCCTTGAACTCCTTGAGGGCGGGCGTCAGTTCCTTGTCCGGGTGGGCGTCCACATGCTTGGTGACCCGGTGGAGGAACTCGCGATGGATGCGGTGGTCCCTTGGAAGCCACGCTCCCGGTCTGGGATAACGAAGTCAGTCATTGTGACGGGATGCGGTGATGGGGAGGGAAGGGGGTTTACTTGTGAATCCGGTGGTGCTTTGGGATGTCATGTTCGTCTCCGTGCTGAACAACCATTTTGGCAATTGGATGGCTCAAGTGAATCTGTGTGTATGGGTCGTGGGATTACGGTCAATTTCCGAATGGCAATGGCATCGGAAAGGCATCTTCCTGGTGTAAAAGAACGACAAGGAAGCCATCTAATACCCTCTTCCTCCGCACCGCATCATGTCATGGTTACGCAACCCTGAGGCCGCCCAAACTCTATGATGTAACAGCATTGAAAGCAACAATTCAAACTACCTTGCCAAACCCTGCTTTCTGTTCAATTCCCATACCGCAGAAAAGTCTAAACACGCGGCAAACTCTGGGGCTGGAATGGCCTCTAGGGCTAGAATGGCCCGTGGAGCCATTGGCAGCGGGGGACGGCCCTTGCCGCCAGATCCGGCCGTCCCAACCGTTGATGACGCCCTCCATTAGCCAATTGCTCGATCACGATCTACCATCATCCTAGAGTTCCTCTGGGCAACCTCAAACTCACATGAAGATCAGGGGGGCAAGCGTAAGAACTGATTCGTTCACTAATTCTTTCATCTACCTCGAAATATCTATACCCCCTCTTGAAAGAGAAAAAGAAGGGAAACCTAAAAGTGGAAAAAGAGTAAAAGGAAAAGGTTAAGCGGCGCTCCGAGGCCGACCAGCGAACAACGCAGTCGGCCAGTCAATTCCCCCGTTGGGCGTGAGACCATCTGTAAAATCTCAAAATATGTTCCGCTCCCCCTTGAACAGTGTAAATCGACTTCCAAAAGTCAACAATGGCAATAAAAGGAAATGGGGGTGAGAGAGAAGATTGAATAAACCGGTATGTGCAAGTGCTGGAAGCAGAAAGAGGAAAAGGACAACTTTATAACAAGAATCATAACGCTCCCACAATGCTAGATAAACGAAATGAGAGAGCTCCCCCTTGTCCCTTGGCAAAGACAATTGGCTGGAAATAATGGAGAAGGAAGGTCAAAAGACAAAAACACCCTGCTAGAAAAGGGACAATGTTGTCAAGAATATGTATCGGGTTCAAGAGTTGCAATGCTGAACCATAGGCGGTAGCATTTGTGAGAGAGGCAGGAAAAGACGATGAGGTCTCGACAGTGCTCATGCGTCAAGCGAGAAATCAGCTTCTTGTCATTCGGGCGTGAGCATGAAGCGTGGATTAGTCCGTGGCCATCTCTGGGTTTGAAAACACAAAAGAAAATGCGGCAGTCGATGCGCTAGGGAGGGAGGGAGGTATTGTGCAATACGAGTATATGTAAGGTGGGAAATAAAACAAGGCTCGAAGTCAAAAGCTGGTGTGTGCAGTTCGTAACGTCGTCAAGGATCTGTTGTCCCGATGAAGTACCAAGTCGAGTGTTGGATGATGTTTCTCACTGTGGACTGGTGTCTCACGTATTAGCATGCTTGAATTGAGACTACATGACCACGCAGCAGCCACAACCGCCCTTCTTGGCATCCTCGTCTTTCTCTTCGGGGACTCTCTTGGGTTGTGAAGAAACGTGTGTCTGAGTTTGCCCATGGGGCTGGGGACTGGGTGGGATTTGAAAGTTTGCCGAGTGAGGGCTCGCAGGAGATTTGTCCGAGATCTTGGGCATGGTTGAGTATGAGCCTTGCCTCACACGGGGGCTTCGAGGGGCCGAGTCTCCCTGCTTGAGAGGCCACTCTGATGGCTGCAGGTGGTCGCCATCCGCTCCATGCTCATCATTGTGGTCGCCACCCTGAGCCATCTCGGGGGGCTTCAGCAGCGCCTTGTCGTTCAAAGGCCGGAAATCTTTGTCATACACATCTCCGTATGTGCCTTCCTTCTCCCATTTCTCTTGCTGAAGACGGCGAGCTACCGTCGGTAACATTTGCTGATCAGGGGGAAGTCGAGGATCAGGCTTGTAAGAATTGACCATCCACGGCGGGTCTCCCTCCGGTTGCTTAGTCGGGGGCGATTCACCAGACCGAGTGGATGGCCTGGTGCCGCTGATGCTTCCTGAACGCGTCTTTGGTCTTGCATTTGCGTTCGTCTTCATGCCGCCGGATGTCTTGCGCCCTGCTAGCTTCTTGGGTGACGAATCGGTTCCTGATCGTTTGGGTCCGGTCGAGTTCAGGTTTGGTTTTTCGAAACCTCGGAGGCTTGCACTTGCACTTCGGGATCGTCTCTTCATAGAGATGGAATCGTCCTCCGGGCTCTCGCTGTTTTTCCTCCCAGTATTTGCTCGGTCGAGATAGCCCGCCCCAATGGGGAGCGGGCTTGTCTTGGCCACTGGGATTTTCGAGCCACTCTTCAGTCCGTTGGATGTGAAGTATGTGTTAGCCTCTGCCTCGGCAATTTCCTCGGGCGTTCTAAGATCCCAGCTGGGAACGGTGATCTCGGGAGGGCGGTGCTCCACTGAGGATGAATTCTTTCGGGATCTGCTCTGGCCGTAATCCGATGCCTCAGTTCCTGGTCGCATGTTGCTGCGGCTTCGGTCTCGTCGCTGTTTGCTGGGGGCCCGCGTCCTTGGGATAACCAATCCAGCGGCCTGAAGCTCCTGGCTTTCAATCTTGGCCAACTTGTCACGATGGATCCATTTGGAGTCGTCCGTCACATACTCCTCCACCCATGGCTGGTCGTCGTCGTCATCCGAGCCCTTTCTCTTCCCGGGAGATTGTGGTTCTGGCGTGAACTCTGGCAACAGCTTTCCACCGTCATGATGAGATGGCTCCTCCAATGTGTTGCCAGCATTAGTTTGCTCGTCGGCCGACTTCATGCGTTGTGTCGCCATTTGAGCCCCCAGCATGTAGTTACTATTAGGTTGCGTATTTGAGTTTGAGTTCGAGTATGAATGATTCGAATTCGCGGGGAATCTAAAGTCATGATGGTTCTGGATTTGGGCCAAGGAAGATCAGTAACAAGAACCTTCATATTTGGCCACTGGGTGACGGTGGTCTGCAATCGGCAGCTGGGCAAAGAGGTGTCTCAAGAGACGGGAATGCATCTAGGTCTGTCTCACCTGGGTGTGGTCATCTTCATGCTGCCCCCACGAAGCATTCTGTCCATAACTGCTGTCCGGAGGAGTCAGCGTCCTCGTCGCTGTCTGTGACGTAGAGATAGCCGCCATGGCGACGCGCTTTATTTAGCGTTAGGGCGCCGGCGGCCAGTGGCGATGGCCGTGTCGGGTTCCCCAGGTCTGGATGCACGAGTACGGGCACGCCGGCGAGTGTTTTATAAAGGATTGGAATCTGCCGATGTAGTTGATATCGTAGGAGAAAGGAAGTAAAGAGTCAAGGGAAATATGGTGCTCAAGGCAGCGAGTGTCGGCAGAATGGTCTGATGGGTGGTAATATCGAGTCGACGAAAAGGAGAGGTCGCGAGGACAAGGGGCGAATCTGGCAGCCGGATCTCAGGCGCAGGGAAGGCAATTCGTCGACGTCTCACCCAGTTGACCGGTCCATGCGAGATGGTGACAACGCGATAGCTGGTGGGATGATGCGGCTGCCCTCAGCCAGCTCGTGGGATTGCGCGTAGAGAGGCAAGCCAGGGCTGGGCAACTTGACGGGTGAAGAGGTTCGACAAGAGGGATCGAAATTTGGAGCGGGCGGAGGTGGTTGGTTGGTCTCTAACCAGAAGCAGATTGGCCACCAGGCCGCGCTCGCTAGGCTACAGGGGGTCCGGGGGGGACGCAGCTGAGGCAGGTCGCTGAAGGCGCTATGACATAGCGGACGATCCTGGCTAGCGGCAGCTGCAAACTGAACTATCAGCACTGAAACCGGCCACCAAGCTGGGAGCTAAGGCACTAAGGCTGTCTCAGAGTGAATTGGCCGCTGGTTAGGACGGACGCGATGTGGCGGGACGGTGGTGGTCTGTGTCTCCCTCGCAGGTCTGCCCTCGGAGGAATAAATGGAAGAATGGATGAGGACAATGTGATGTGATGCGGAGAAGCTCAGGTGTTAGTCGCGCTGCATAAAAGGTACACGACACGATGGGATGGGCCCTCAATGCCTGATGCAGGAAGACATGCACAACACCAGCGATAGCCGTCTGTGAATGGCCAGCTTGGAGAGCGGGGGACAAGGTGGGAGCCAGGAGACAGGCCAAATACTGGCTGCTATTTGCTCGCCCCTCGCAGCTCCCTACGTAATGGAACGTCTGTCCAGGTACGATGGCCTGGGTTTAAAACACTACACTCTCGAGATGTGACGTGAGCACGCACAGCATCGTTTTCATCATCAGCGAAGAGAAAACACGAAGTAAAAAAGAAAAAGAAAAAAAGAAGAAAAAGCAAGAAAAGCATGGGCCATGGTTTGTGAGGAGTGTTAGAGGCCACCCGCTAGCGGCGTTCTGGCGTGCTAGCATGGCACCGCGTGCACAAGAGACAGACAAGGGCCCCCTTCTCCCGGCTCTATCGTGAATTTGTCTTGTCGAGCCTGGTCTTTTCTTAAATTAGCAGACCCGTCGCCATGGCCGGCGGACCAGGCCACCTATCTTCAATGGCAGCGACGTGTAAGTACTATGTATGGGCGCAGTAGTGGTATGTACATGCAGCAATGCAAATATGGACTGCACCCGGTCTATAATATTACATGGATTCACGACAGCAAGGGGTCAGTCATCCCTTTCTACCTACATACAGGTACAGAGTTGGTCCTCGCTCCACAACTGTGCATAAGGGAGCTGCTCCGGTCCCCAGGACGAACCATCAACGCCGATTTCCAGGAGCCCGACCAACAATATGTGTTGCAACGCTGCTTCTTGTAGAGTTCTTGTTGGGCGCACTTGACAAGGGTGTTCTTTTTAATTAATTGTTTGCCCAATGCCCCTCAATTTGCCGCTTGCGAAGAGTAGTATCATTTAGCCTGACGGGCCGTCTGTCAAGATCCCAGCAACCTCAAATCAAATTAAACCCCCACCAGTCAGAGCAACCGCAATGATAGCAAGACCAGACAGGTGGGATGGTTTTTCATCCCATCCAGAAAAGCGGATAGTGCCATCGCTGCTATAACGCCAAAAGCCGGGATCGCCGCTTCACGGTCACGAGCTTCATCGTAGTTACAACTCCCAAGACATGAGGCCATGTAGTGCACCAAATGTTCGGAAATCATGTTCCTACCTAGTCACCGTCCCATTTCAAGTAAATCATATATCTACTGAAGATGATTGAAAGGTGATGATATCGGCAAATATGTCCGGCTTCATCGTGACACATCTAGATCTCCGAAGAAAAATATCACGTACGTTGTCTTGCGGCTGGATAAAAGGGAACCTCAGAGGGCAGAGCAAGTAACAATCTCTGCCGTGCCGCTGAGCTTACCCTGCCACAACTCAAGTGCGGGCAAGATTTTGCGATTTGTTTTAGCATCCTCGACAATCTCAGTGGCCTGCTCTTGCCGGCCAAGCAAAGACACCGAGGACTTGAGACTTCTGTAATTACACGTCTTGTTGCGTAACCTAAACCTAGGAGGCCCAACCTTCTCCAATCCCCACGATCTTTTAACGATCATACAGAGCGGTTCAGGCCCATGGGCCTAGAACATCCTCCCTCTTCTGAGAATGGCCGACTGAAAGTCAGTGGCTCTCAAGAAGTATATCCATACGTCGAGCAAGAAGTGTGAGATAATTATCGGTTTGATATCCCACATAGACTGAACGGTCGAGCCGGGAGAGCAGTCGAGCACACGCGGCATCACATGTCTCACTAATCTACACGTGTTGCGCCTCTGTTTAAACACTTTGATTTCTTGTTTTGATGATTAATCAGATAGAGAAAAACTCCCTCCTATCTTCGAGAGTTAACAAAATCTGAATCGTCAACTCAGAGATGAGCCAGAGCCACTTTGACGACAGTCAGTCAGCTTGAAATTGTTCTGTATGCAGTAGGGAATTGCAAGCCACTGGCCCGAGATGTCTCACTTCAATAATAATGAGATAGATATCAAGGTTGTTTGAAAAGGAGAGCAGGCAAACTGTAGAGGAGACCATGCAGGTGTGTTGAACGATCTGGAGGAGCACCAACTACACCCATTCTTTTATCAACCGATGCCATACATAGACTGAAATTTGCAGTGAAGAAGATGGCTACTCCTCCTCTATTCTACAAGTCTCCATGTGCTTATCCACACTACCTACCTCAATCACATCTCTGCCGCCGGATGTGCTTGGTATACTAGACCCCTAATTCAAAGCAGCCCACTGGCTCTAAATACCAGCAATACATGCGTTATTTGTTTATTATCTTCTATGTCATGATTACAAAACTGCTTGGTCTAGCACAGGCGAGAAAGCCATTGATGGTCGAATAGAGAAGCTAATATACCTCGACCGCTACAATCCCCTTTCTGTCACCCAAGGAAGTGGCGGGTAAGAGCTTGCAGGAACATTGGGAAAATATACGGATAACTCCCTAGTAGTATGCATACTCCCAGACAAGGTTCTGATGACTTGGATGCTAGTCAACAGGCATCAGCTAAAAGAGAGAAGGAGCGTTTGTGTATGTAGTAACCATCCCCTAGATCTACTTGATTCACCGGAGTTGCTGGCCCCCTGTAAGGGAATCTAGGAACAACAGCTCATTTATCAGGGCTACTTAATGAATACGCTGACATTGAAGTTGCTCGAGCCATGAACCTAACTCTACATTTGCCTTGTTGATAACCTTATCCAAGTTCGAGGTAGGTGAGACTGGCGATTGGTAGGTTGCTGCTAAAAGCGGCACCAGGCGCACTTCGACCTCGCACCAGGCAGACCAAGGCAAGAAGTGGTGATCGTCGGTGAGTCAGTCGGACTTCATGTCAGATACCTAAAACCCTCATATCACGATATACCATTCCGATTACAAGGACCTGGGAAGCCAATCGGCCGCCAATACTATATTCTAGGAACTCAACATTCTCTACGTCCACTCATGGTAGACCAACACCCCAACACCAAGCTCCGGCGCACTCGCATCGTCTGCATCTCAGATACTCACAACTGCGCTGTGAAACTTCCCAAGGGGGATATCCTTATACACGCGGGCGACATCACGAACCAGGGTAGCTATTCAGAGGTATTCTCCAAGCGAATCACATTTTGCAACTGGTTGGTTTTGAAGCTGACTGAACTACGTAGCTCTCTCGTGCTATCAAGTGGTTGGAGGAAGCCAAGTTTGAGGCCAAGATAGTCATCGCAGGTAATATCCATGCCATTGCCTACTCACTTACATCTCATATGGCAGTTGGAGAACTAACAATACGACTATGCTCCAGGGAACCACGACATCACACTAGATGAGGCGTTCTACGCTGAACATGGCCTCTACTTTCACAACCAGACCCCTCAGTCGCATGAGAACTGTCTGTCTCTGCTCACATCTTCCCCGAGCATCACCTACCTGAACCACGCATCGCAAACAATCCGCCTCACCTCCCCAGATGGCCCCCGTACCCAGTTTAAGGTCTTTGGGTCGCCATACTCTCCGCGTCATGGCCTCTGGGCGTTCTACTATGATGCGCCTCTATCGCCGTCGACCTATTCCGACCTCCCACGTATCTGGGATGATATCCCCCTCGACGCTGACGTCGTCGTCACACATACGCCCGCACGCACGCACTGCGACGAGACTGACGAGCGCCGTGCTACTGGCTGCGAGGCGCTCCGACGAGCTCTCTGGCGCGTGAGACCTCGGCTGGCCGTATGTGGCCACATCCATGACGGACGAGGTGCCGAGCGCGTGACCTGGGACCTCACGTCCCGGAACGTCGCCTTCGCAGAGCGATCGGTGGCCAGATGGACCGATCCGGCGCCAGGCATGGAGAGCAGCAAGATCAGCCTTGTAGATCTGACCGGGCGCAGGCTGACCCCGTCGCTCGCCAACGACGGCTCTCGAGGCGACTACCGTGGCCGCACCTCCACATCGACGACGACAGCTGCTACTGTCGCTGGCCCGGTCACGCTCGGCTCTGACGTCGCCGTTGATGCCCAAGTCTGCCGTGGCACGATCGGGCTGGGCGGCGACGACCCGCAGTCCTCGCGCTGCGACTGGGAGGCGCTGAGTGGGCGGATGGGCAGGGAGGAGACGTGCATCGTCAACGCAGCGATCATGAAGAGCAGATACCCCCATGTGGGTGGGAAGCAGTTCAACAAACCGATCGTGGTGGACCTCGACCTGCCCGTCTGGGAGGAGTGATCGAGCCGGTCTTGGGCTGGCATGTGGATTTTGGAGACACGCTGTGGACGGGAAAATTCCCTTCCCTTGCAAGGTTCGCAGGGCAGCAAGCGCTGGCGAATTATCGATTTTGATACCCAAGGAGATGCACACGTCTGTCTGACATTGCACTTTGCTCCCCGAGCTCGCGTGATGGGCACGTCGAGGCTCGCAGATGATGGTGTGCTGTAGCCCTCTGCCGGGCCCCAAGGTGGGAAGTCTGACGCTGCCCAACTAAACCCAATTCCAAAAAAGTCATGACGAGGAAGCTGGTCTCGAGGTTGTGGGAGGGAAAAAACGTGGAACATGCTCCGAAGGACAGGTCACCGCACCGTTGGAGCCGCTACTTGATCAAGGATATCCTGGATAATCTTGGACGGGTCAATTGAGCTGACATGTCTCGCTCGCTATTGGATCGAGTTTCCACCTCGTGGTGGAAGCATTGCTTTCGAATTTCTTGTCCAGTGCACCTGATCAATGCTACTACCCTAGACGATCGCCGATCCGCTCGATTCTTGTCTTGTTAATGCAGTGCATTTCGTAGGTGTATGGGACATGCGCGTGGGTAGTCAGAGAATTGAGTAATGGTTCACTCCGGTTTTTTGTTTCTTCTTCCCTTGCCTACTATTTGTTTCTTGGCTCCTACCTACTCGTAGACCTGCATCAGCCGGTGGCACACTGGTGTGTTCCTCTTTTGGGGATCGGTTTTCGTTGTGCAGCAAGATTCCAGTCAGCACCGCGGAGAAGTGCATATTGAGTACATGTAGAAAATGGCCGCATCAACCACCGCATTGATTGTCAGCCAATCTGGAGATCTTCGTGATCATCTGAATGGCGAGAGCCGCCTTATCACACCCCATGGTCTCAATCACATCGCCTGGATTGGACGAGCAGGGCCTGCAAGCGCTGTGGTTGCCCGCCAGTTGTAAGACAGCAGCTGCACACCAACAGCAGCCAGCCGGATGCTTCCAGGTTGCAGGGTAGGCTTGGTGGCTAGCATCTCAAATGGAAAAAGTGTGCAGCTCGTCGAACCTGAGTGGCCGGCGCTTTGTTCTCTCTCCCCGTCCATTGTCTCTCCTCGCCCGCTAGCCGCTGAGAGCCATCCGCAATCGACCTAGGCCGCCATCCAAGACGTGCGGATTCGCTGCCACGTTCCTCCAGTCCAGACACCGGTGTTGGCCGACGACGCATGGAGGGTGACATCCAGCATCCAGAGCCCGTCCAGAGAAGCCTCAAATTTTCAGCACCCCTTTTCCGGAAGGTTCCTGTAGTTTTCGTCCGTCAGGCCACACCGTCTGGTGTTGGCCAGTCACCTGGCTGGCTGTGATGTGAGGGTGTTCATCCCGCCTGCGCATTTGCTGGCCTCGCATTGCACTTTGAGTTGCAGCGGTTGGTGATACAGCGTCCGTGTTCAATGCGCCACCCGTCAGCGAAAGCAACATGCAACTCGCCGTAGTTTTGTGTGTACATTACCCTGTAACCCAACCCAGCCCAGCTTGGAGCCTCGGAAACCAGCCGATCCTCCCGCCACCACGGCGGCAGCTTTCCAACACTTCTTCTGTACCCAGCACTTTAACTGCCGCATCAATGCAGATCCTGCTTATTGTCTCTGGCAGCGATGGTGATCAGGGCCCATCCCCCAACTGCGGTCTATCCCTTACTGACCTGACCGCCATATTGCCATTTTGCATTACCGAGCCGTCTATTTCTCCGACATTTTAATGTCTGGGATACTGGATCTTGGAATCTTGGTCTATCCCTGGAGCGGGAGAGCCTTGGAACTGTCGATGCTTGGATCATGGCTACCCCCCCACCATCTCCCACCACCTACTCTTCACCCTCGCAGCAGCATGTGCAAAAAAAAAAAAAGCATGCGGCACAAGAAACATCCAGTCACAGCTGCGCAGGAGCTCGGGGCTACCACTGGCCAGAAAGCCCTTCTCCAATGAGAGCTTGATCATACCCACACAGAGCATATTCCTTGGGAGGGCCGCATTTGTATCCAATGAGACTCGCCGGCCTCGTTGATTGTCAGACCCTGCAAGAGGCAGGACGTAACCACACTCGCTAGCCCTAGACTCTCCCGTGCATGTCAGGTGTGGTGTGTCAGATACGGACAATCTGAGCTTACAGGCCCCAAGGCGCTGTTGGTTACACACGCTAGATCTAACATCCAGCCTCGACGGTCGTATCGACAGGACCTCCATCCCCAGCGTGAGCATGATGCTAAACAGGTTCATCCCTCCAGCAACACCGCCTGCCCCTCATCCTGCTGGGCTTTATCCGTAGAATGGGATAGAGGTGGACCTGGCCGGCTCGGATGGCCCCCCTGCGTGATTGGTGCCGTGCAGACATCGCCAACGTGACTGGCTGCGCATCATCGACCATGCGCGTTGCTGCAGGTCCAATAGTGGAAGGGGAGTCCACTCAGACAAGGCCATGTCGCAGCTCACGATAGGCTCACGACATATGCAGATGCCCACCCACACCCTTTTTGGGAGTCTTGCGCGCTGTGGGTGTACACATGTACCCATTCGGCGACCTGGCGGTCGCGGCGGCTGATGTGATGCTTGGGTTGGCCCGTGGTTGGTGATCAGGGTGGCGTGGGGTCGAATTCCCCTGTTGGCTAACGGCAGCATCGCGTGGTACTTTAGCTTGGGGCTAACTGACTGTCCAAGCCGGTCGGTCGTGTTGAAGCCAAGGGCCGGGCCTCTCTTCGAGTAAGCTTCCTTGGGAGGGAGGGAGGGGGGGAGAACTTACGACCTGGCCGCCTCGGGAGGTCAGACTGCCGGTATTGCATGCAATGGACTGATACCTATCCCATCTCTCAACGGCCTCAATCGACCAATCGATTTCACGCCTGAGCGAGTTTGCATGGGGTGGTACTTTTGGATCACGGATCAGTGTCTGTTCCAGGCATGATATGTGTCGAGCGCTCGCCAAAACTAGCACTTGGGTACTTAGATACATGACACAACAGAGGAGCTCCGGACGAATTACTGGACACCAATTGGCCCTGCAGGAGGAAGCTCTGGCGACACTGGATAGGGCCTTGGCTCTATCATGCAATGCGCGCCGCTTGAATGCAGCTGGATAGCAGATAATGCCGATGCTCCCATCCCGGGGTCACCTCGAATGGACTGAAACGGGCGAGAAAGCGGGGGGGCTGCATATCAGTTTCGAATCCTTTCCATTCATTCCAGTTGTAGAAACCGCTCAGCCGACAGCAAGCCCAGGCGATAGACCTACGCGAGACGGACTATCCAGTAGTAATTGGAAGCGTCAGTGGCTGCTACGTTTACATTGGCTGAGCGTATGCACGTATGCGTCGGGTTGGTGCTCCTACGTAAAAGTATGCCCTGCCACGCGATGCCTTCAAGGCGGAATAGTATGGGGAATTTAACGTTTTACGCCCATTACGGGAGCAGCCATTTGGGGGTGGTTTAGCATGGCGTATGCTGACAACGGAGACGCTGTAAGCGCCATAGATCCAGCCCGTGTGATAGTACCAGATAGACTGGCGATGCTAATGATAGCACAGACTTTGGATGGGGCAACCTTGCCATCATGGAGACATGGTTTGGATCAACAAGGCAGTGTAAGTCAGGGAGATACGGATTGTCTCTTTTGCTCGGTATTGCGATTGGGGCCATGCGGCCATTCAGAAACCTCGTGTTGTTGCGGAGGAGGTTACGTTGACTGATGGGCGGGCGTGCTCTTCGGTAGGTACCTTATGTACCCCCACTGCTAAATTTAGTAGGGAGGTACTTGCCTGGCTGATGCACGCCCAGCAGCAGCGCCATGCTAAAAGCCCACCGCCATTTGCTCAGGCTCTCCTCATACCGGTTTGAGATGACTCCCAAGGGATGAGATGTGTAGGTTTCTTGTCTCTGTCTCTCGGCCAGCTCACAATATGCACTTATGAGGCAATACGGCAACCGGTTTCTGCACAAAAATCCGAATTGCGCATCCATAGTGAGAGAGTGGCCATTTCCATAGTGGTCTTGCCTCCGCCGCCCGAAACATCACCTCTCATGTCTCCCCACAAGCAGCTGTCACCTGAGTGCTGGAGCTGGTCTGTGGAGTGTGCTGCCGGAGCTGATACCATTGACGCAACGGCCATTCACCGCCCCTCCTCCTGCTGCTCCCTTGTAGCTCCTTTCAGCGAGGTAGCCAGAAGGTGCAGCTTTAGTGTGAGCCTCTGTTTGGTCGACGGCAGCACTCTGCATTTCCTTGTGGGAACAGGAGGTCCCGTCGTCTGGGCAATTGGATGGATCATGTTGACTAACAGGCAAGGTGATGAATCCAAGGGTTCTCGCGCCTTCTCTGGCATTCCACTTGGGCTAGCCAACCTTGAAATGCTCAGCAGCAGGTTTTCTCGGGTGCTAAGTCATGACGCGCGCTTGTGCGAGCATGACCTCGGAAAATGACCCTCATTGTAGTCATCATGAGCGTCGGCTCATCCAGACGATTGCAGATAAGCGTCCGCCAGGAGTCCCGTCCAGTGGCATCTAGATTACTCACCAGCCTTCCGGACCGTGCCAAAGTCAGATGCCCGCCACTGCCAACAAGCGAGCGAGCGCCAAACGTTCCCGGGGGTTGACTCAGCTGGGGTGGTGGCCACTGTAGCACCCAACGGGGCCTAGTCTAGGCACTGCGTCGGCCGTCCGGGAGTCGTGTGCACCACTCGATAGCAGGGAACCTTTAGGGGGTTGCTAAGGTTCCGGACGAGACCAGGCCAGGCCTATCTGGGATCCGCCACTAGCTCCCTGTGGCGGGAAAAAGGGCCCTGGCCACCTCTTATTTTCTCTCCAGGTCCAGGCAGACGAATAACCAGTGGATGGTTGACCTCGCCAGAGACAGGCCTCGCTCGTTTCGGTCTGCATTGGGGCATGTGTATACGTGATTGTTTCAATTCCTGGTGAGGCTATGCGGATCGAGCATCTTGGCTTCGCCTCCCCCGGCCTGGCGAGCCGCGTGTT